GCGCCGCCGACTGCACGGCACCGGGCGCCTCTGGACGGGGCGTCTCCCGCAGCGGGAGGGGCTGCTCCGAGCTGTCCTCCTCTGCCTCCTTGGCGTTCTCGAMCAGGACAGACCGGGGGGAAGGGGCGGGGGAAGAAGCACTTTTGCCAGCTGCGGAACAGCACGGCGAGCCGGAACAGCCCCCCCGTAGCCCCCTCGCAACCTCCCGCTGCCCACACATTGCCCTCTCCCCCGCCCGCAATCCCCGCAATCCCCGCAATCCCCGCAATCCCCGGGCACCGGGCACCGGGCACCGGGCACCGGGCGAGGTGCGGCCCCATCCCTGGAGCGGCTCTGCTCGTCCCCCTCGTCCAAAGCGGAGCACACCAGCCTGCGCGGAATCCTCTGCTCTCCAACGGGCGCCGCTTTAACTGTGCAGAAGAGAAAGACCCAAAGAAGTGATTTCCCAAATTACACACGGGGATGATGTGGGGGACAGCCTTGGGCTACCGCCGCATCCCGTGTAACCGGTCCACCTGCTGCTTTCTTCCCCGTCTGCGAGTGTGTGAACTGACTCCCCGTCATGAGGGGACGCGTCCGACTGAGAAGCTCTCCTGGACAAGGCTGTACGGAGGGCCAGGGTCCATCCCGAGGTGGGGGCARACGGGGTCACATATCCTGCAGCAGATGCTTTGTTTGTCCATGTAGCTCATGTCCCTGCAGGCTTCATGAAAGAGTCCTGAGCARTTACCCAGGCCAGTGCTGGCCTCCTGCCGCAGTATCATGACACGGGGCACAGCCAGAGGTCACCCAGAAGGAGCTTGGCTCCCTGGGCACCACACCCAGGTCGTCATGCAGAAGGGTACACAAGTGTGTCCCAGTGCATGGTCATGGCATGCTCAGCACTATGTGGATGCTTCAAGCTGAAGCACTGGCCGGGGCAAGAGGACTGGTTGTGGCACAGCATCCTTGTCTGCAGCCCGAGTTTCCACCCAAGAGCAGAGACCTGCACCAGGGTAAAGTCAGTGCTTGGTCTCACTGCAGCACTTACATCAGCATTACGGTGAGGATTGAGCTTGAAGGCATCTCGTCATCCACAAATAGCCAGCAGCATTTAAAACAAGGGTGGGAAAGGGAGGCTGCTGTTTGGTCACAACTGCCTGGAAATGCTGCACAGGGAAGCCCTGGAGAGCTGTCCTCCCTCTCCCTCTCCCCAGASTGTGCCTTAGTGCCCATTCCTGTGGCATGGAACTTTAGTCACACAAAACAAGCTAGTGAGGCTGCAGGGGATTCTGCATGACTTCTGTTCTGGAGAGAAAAATCCTCTGTTGTTGTCTAATCTCATTTCTACACCTGCCAATTTCCCGTTCCCCTTCTGGTCCTCCTCWCCATTTTCAGAAGACTAATTAATACACAACTGCCATGGTCATGCCATGTCCAYTGAAAATCTGCATTGAATTAAATGCTGTGCTTTCTTGCTATCTAACTCATTGTCTCTGCTAATAATATCCTTAATTAATAGAGTTACTCTCTGTTTCTAAATGTGGGACCCCCCGTTGTTAGTGGCTTTTTTTTTAACTACAAGTTTGCAATTTTTAAATGTGATCATGTCTTTAATTGCATAGAAATAAATCCACATGATCCCAAACCCTTAATCTGCCTATTTTAGGATTTCTTATGGCTGCTTACCCTGATAGCAGAGCTATCTTCCATGTGAAAGGCATATCAAATTAGGTTCCAGATTACAGTGAATAAAAAAAATAGGCCAAAGAACATTGAAAAATATGTGACTTACCCAAAGGTATCCAATACTGGCTCTGACAGAAAAAAAATTCCCCGAGAGCTCTGATTTCTATTGCCAATGCCAAGCATTTGTCTACACTGATACAATTAAACACAGAATATTTGTGGTATTGAAGGATTATTTGACAAAGATTTTATTGTTATTGTTGTTGTTAGGAAACAATTTTCTGGTRAGATGCTTTGAAGGGAATATTTTCCAGAAATTATTTCCCACCCCTATTATCTGGGCTATTATAAACTCCAGTGAGTATTTCAGGATAATGTTCCTAATGGAGCAGTAGAGGTTTYAAAATCTCTTATACACAGATCTCACCATTATTTTTTGTTCAGGAAGAGAAAAAGGTCAAAATTAAACCACAAGCCTCTTGTCATGGAGCACCACCCCCTGACAAAAATCCCTTCCCGTTTGACTCCTGTGCAGGTTTGAGGATGCCATCTCTCAGCTGGGGCAGGGACAGGGGCTGTGTACACAGGAACTCAAAACTGCTTTAATTATTAATAAATATATTTACAYAAGAACACTTTCTCTTCAGGAGAAACGTGAGTTACTCATGCAATTCCTCAGGTTCTATTKACTCAACACTGTCAAAACCCTGGGTTTCATCACTTTAATACAGAGAGTATAAACATTTATTTATTTAGCAGGGTTTMTCTGTGAGGTACCCATTGGATTGGTGTGGATTTGGGAAGGACATTCTCCCTCACACCAGAGGTGGCCGCGTTTGCCTTGGCAGCTCTTGGTCCAGCAGCAGCAGCAGCTCATGGCAGAGCAGAGGAGAGGGGCTCTGAGCAGACAGGAGTGCAGGATCACCACAACCCACAGCCTGGTGCCAGGGACTGCCAGGGACCCCAGGGACTGCCAGGGACTGCCAGAGACCTCCAGGGACCCCAGGGACCTCCAGGGACAGTCAGGGACATCCAGGGACCCCAGGGACCTCCAGGGATCTCCAGGGACCCCAGGGACTGCCAGGGACTGCCAGGGACCCCATGGACTGCCAGGGACTGCCAGGGACTGCCAGGGACCCCAGGGACCCCAGGGACTGTCAGGGACTGCCAGGGACCCCAGGGACCTCCAGGGACCTCCAGGGACTGCCAGGGACCCCAGGGACCCCATGGACTGCCAGGGACTGCCAGGGACCCCAGGGACCTCCAGGGACCTCCAGGGACCCCAGGGACCTCCAGGAACCTCCAGGAACCTCCAGGGACCTCCAGGGACCTCCAGAGACCTCCAGGGACCCCAGGGATCTGGGACAAGAGCAGCACGGTCCTGTCTCTGTGTCAGACACTGAGTGCACCGGGAAGGGCTGCCAGGGCAGCACACACAGGCTGACACTCGGAGTGGCTGCCCCTCCTCTGCCCCACATGGTCCTGCAGAGAAAAGCCCCGAGGGTCGGTCACCACAGAGGCTCTGCAGGGACCCTGGCAGAGGAGCGACACCCCAGAGCTGCTGTGGGAGAGCCCTGCCTGTCACCTGGACCAGAAGCTGCCTTGCTCTGACTCAGGCAGCCAGTCCCCCTTTTTTTGTCTCCTTCACTCCTCTCAGTGTACAGTTTAGATAATTTTGATATGATTGCAGAGTTGTTTGGCAGCTGACCACAAGATGAATTCACAAACACTTACAGACACATTTTGAATCTCTTTAGCCGCCTGCTTTCCATCGTAGAAACCCGTACTGATGGAAGATGGCCACTGTATTGGGACAAGCGTCCAGTCCCTGTGTTCTCCTCATCCTGTCAGAGGCCACGAGTGCTTATCCAGTGGAAGGTGACAGGTAGGAGAAAGTGGAGCAGTCACCCATGGTCTCCAATGTCCCGGCCCAGAGATGGTCTCCATGGGGCAGTCCCTGCAGCAGCATTTCTGAACAAAGAGCCATTCACCAGGGAAACACAAGGGGACATGAGGAGGAGCCGAGAAGCACTTGGACACAGAGAAATCACTGCCAGAACAAGAGCTGTTTCCAGATGAGCACAGTACCGATTCTCCCCAGCCATGCCTGTCACCCCGCCGTGATGCACACAGGTTTTAGTCTCCTGTATCATCAGGCTGGACACATTGACAAGTGCTCACTCAGRCACTTCAGGGCACTCAGAAATAACAGTGGGCTTGGAAACAGACTGATTAGCAATCCTCAGTGTACTTCTGAATGAGAGTGGACCAAGACCCTATTTGMTTTTCATTAATCTCCATTGCAGACACTGCTCATGGAGGAGGCCAAACTGTTGTTATTGTTACTAGTAATGATTTAGCACTCCGGGAGTCTGCTAGGTGCCTGGCGAGAAGAGTGCCAGGTCGCTTCAGAAAGGCAAGGTCACTTCAGAAAGGCAAGGTCGCTTCCCCAATGTCCTTTAACATAAACACACGTTCTGGTTGGTCCCAGATTGCTGCAAACGGCTGTAACAGGAACGGCAGGGGCACAGCAGCTCTGCTGCTACCATGCTGCTGGCCTCCAGCCCTGTCTGAGCCAGGGTGACAGGGTTTATGGTGACCTGAGCCATTTTCTGAGTGAAACCAGCCTTTTTTTTTTTCTCTTGAGCCTCTATATTTTCAAAGATGGGCCTTTCCCAGCGTCATATGGAGCCCTGCTCTCCTCAGAGTGTGTAATGCAGTCATAACCTTGTCTGCAGCATGCAGCCAGCTGACATGTTCACCATGAGGGATTTGCCTCCAGAGAGGAGCTGTGCAGACAGAGATTGTGAGCACAAAAAGGTTTCTTTCTGGGTTAATGACAGATTCATCACCGGTGAAAGTTCAGACACACGATAATGCCAGGACTTTCTGAGCTGGGATGTTTTATCATAAGGCAATAAAGAGATGTGGTTTTGGTAGCCTGTGTTGGCTTTTACCTGGGCCCTGCAGRTGGAGAGAAGCTCTTTCACCACCTGGGTCCTCACTGGATGCAAGAGCAGCAGTTTTCCCCGTTTTCCCCAGACCTCCTTGGTGACCTTGGTTGCTTTTGTTTTCCTTAGAGGCTTAGGGAGGGCTCAGCACTCAGTTATCCCAGCTYCACAGGGCTGGAGATGCAGCTTATGAGTTCAAATACAGCTCCAGTTCTGATCTAAGGGATGCTCAGCCTGTGCTGATGTGGGGCCAGGTGAAGCACAGTCCCTCCCACTCGGGTTACACTGACAGTGTCTTGCCCATATCTGTCTCTTGTCCCCATGGGCATCTTGGGCAGAATAGGGCCCTTCTTTGGCTGGGTCCAGCCAGCACCAGCCTCGGAGGGTTTCTGTGGGCAGCAGTGATTTTCACTGTTTTGCTTGGGCAGGGCTGCAGGGCACACCATGGGCTGKGCACATCCCAGCCGTGCCAGCCCTGCATGTCCTGACTGCCTGCCAGCCACGCAGGATGCAGGACTTGGCTCCCAGCAAAGGAAGCAAATTCAACAAAAGGCAGAGCATCCCCTCATGGGATTCCCAGCAGGGGCCATGCTGATTGTTCAAAACAAAGCTTGTCTGCCTTGGAAGGGAGCCCAACTGCTACCCCAGGGTCCACACAGCTGACCCACACAGCAAAGGCAGCAAGGCTGATCCTACCAGCTTTGTTCAAACATCCTCCACCAAAGCCTGGAGGAAGTTTTTCCTTATGAAGTCAGGCAGGATCGTGCTGCATGCACTGCAATATGCTAACTTCCCTCTGAGCAGTTGCTCAATATGTGTTTGAGTAGACAGGCCACCACTACTCGTTAACCAAAACAAATGGGAAAAGGGGAAAGCTTACAACACAACAATTGCTTTCAATTAGAGGATATAGCTATTGCCAAAATATGTCAGTAGGATTTGACAGACTACATTTTTAACTGTGTACTACTGAACAACAGGCTGCACTAAAATCAGCCTAAACTAAACAGGGATTTAATCCCATTCCCTTCCTTCTCACAGCACAATCATTAGGCTGTAAATATATTATTGCAGCCCACAGTACTCTTATTAATTCCAACCAATTTGACTTACCTAGAGGCTTCAATGTTATTCTCTCCCATGTT